CAGCCACGCCTCCCCCCGCAATATCCGGCCCGTGTGACTGGGGCCTGTGTCTGTCTGAGCACACATGGCTATGATGCAGCTGCCCATGATGATGGCTTTGCTAGTTAGTCAGACGGTGGTCAGAAGCTCCTTGTTGGTTTGTTTTTCTGTTCCATTCAAGAATCTTTGGATGTTTCCCTGAAGTGGGCACCAGGAAACACAGTGGCAGGCTGTGAGCTCCAAATGAGCACCATACTATGGATCACAACTCTAACTTAGGGACCTAAATATTTTAGTATCCCTTCTAATTATGGTTTCCAACTGGCCTGAAGAAAAAGCCCTGTCTCGTTAATTGAGACTTAATGTGTGGAAATGCACAGGAAAAGCTTTCCATGGCATGGAAGTAAATTAAATCACCTGAAGTGTTGCAATTTATTTATTTACCGTCAATTACCATATTCAGAAATACAGCAGAATAAAAATACATTTCGATATAATAGCTAAAAAGTTTGACATCATTAAGATATACAATGCATCACATTGCAAGGATAAAATATATCAATTGTCACATTTCAAGAATTAAAAAAATGTATATTAAATCTAAAAAAGCATAAACTCAAAACCAGAGAGGAGAAGTCTGAAAAAACAGGTCCGTTGTTTGCTTCACACTTTACTCACCTGGGCACAAAACCTAGCTGTTACCTTAATGATAGCTGGCATTTCATCTCTCAATAGTTTCTCCAGACTTTCTCCAGACCTATCTGTAACCACTACTAGTTCATCCAAAAAAAGGAAGAATTGTCTTATCTCAAATTTCTTTATAAAAAGGGCAGCGGATGAACACATGTCCCAATGCTTCCACCTCACCTAGCAAGCAGGGACAAATCCCTTCCGAATATGGGATCTTCTTATATCTTCCTGTGATGGCATTACATCACTTCTAGCCAGGGTAGAAGCCCTCTTGTGTATGGGGGGGGATCTAAAGTTTTAAGATATTGGGTCATTGTCATGGAGTATCTAGATTTTGCAGGAGCCCTAAAGTTTGGAGTTTTCATTAAAACTTGCAGCCACTCCAGATTTCTCAAGATCAATGGTCTGTGACAAAAGGGCACTAGGTGAAAGGCCCATTCTTTCTAAACTACCCTCAACTAAGTGTAACCATCTTGACTGATAGAAATCTTACATTATTAAGGGAAGAAGGCCTTTTGGATTTATTTGTGCCCTAAGCCACTAAAAAGCAGAGGCCAACAGAATTCTCACCTCAATTCTCATTTGTCCTGTTTCTAGGCGAAGAAGAGTTAGGAACACCAGGGAGAGGAACTGTAAGATGGCACAAAGAAATTTAGATTGTATTTTTTCAAAGGAGTATAGACTAGTGGCTGAATTACCTAAAACGGTACCATAAAGAAGCTGAGATATTACTTTAGCTTGAAAAAGCTTCAGCATAGCAGGTACATATGATCCCACTTTGGAGCGAAAGAATCTCAGAATTGTGTATGTAGCTCTCTCAGCACACTCTACCCTCAGATTACAATGTGCTGTGTTAGATCCAGTCCCCTGATATATGACCCCAAGGTAAGTAAATTTCTTAACGTGCTCGATTTTGTTCCCCTTCATTGGCCATGCCCTCTTTTTGGATACCCACCAAATGTCATGACTTTGGTCCTGTCAGAGTTAACTGTGAGATGTTCTTTGCCACAATATGTGGTAAAACTATCAAGTACCCTTCGAAGTTCCAGCGGCATTCTTGATAATAGGACCGCGTCATCTGCATATAGCAGTATGGTTAAATGATGTGAAGCAAGTTTGGGGGGATGGAAATCGGAGTGTGTCATATAATTGACAACATCGCTTAGATAAAGATTAAATAAGGTAGGAGCTAAGAGGCAGCCCTGTCTTACTCCCTTAAAAGTTTTAATTGGTTTGGTGAGGTGTCCTAATGGCCTATATCTCACCCTAAGGGTAGATTCATCATGAAGAGCACGAATAAGAAACAGTAGTCTTTTATCTATATTAGACCACTCTAATTTTTTCCATATTCTCTTTCTTGAAATAGAATCAAAAGCTGCCTTTAAATCAATGAAGGCAGCATATAGAGAAGTTGGACCTCTGGCAGAATATTTCTCAATTAATTGTTGAAATATCAAACAGTGCTCTATAGTCAATCTTTCTATCCTAAAGCCAGCTTGTTGTTTTGGTATGATCTTCTCTTGCTCCAACCATATTTCCAGCTTATCCAATAAATGCCTTGAGTATAATTTACTAATAATGTTTAAAAGACTAACCGGCCTATAATTCACGGGATCATTTTTATTACCCTTTTTTTTATAGATAGGGACTATGATCGCTGTCTTCCATTGCTTAGGAACACAGCCAGAATTATCAATATATGTGAACAATATGGCAAGGAACTGTGCCCACCAGTCTGAATTTTCTTTTAAAGCTTCAGGTGGAATGCCACCTGATCCCAGGGCCTTCCAGTTTCTTAACTGCACAATATGTGCTTTTACTTCCTGCAAAGTAATCAGAGGCTATAAAGGGAGAATCTCTAGTGCCTTGGGAGGGATATCCAGGGTGTGATCATCATACAGCCTCTGAAAAAAGGTAATATGTAGATCTAAGGGTGAGGATGATTTCAGTTTCCTTTCATGAGTAAGTCTCCAAAAAGGGCAGTGTTATTTTGACTTACTGCCTGAATAAGAGCCTCACATGACCTTCTAGAATACTCTTTATTTTTCTGTTGTATAATTCTTTTATAAAGTTTTTTTTTACTTAGGAGAGTAACTTGAACCTCAGCGCTTTTCCCCAGATCATTACCTAGAGTGAGTGTGTATAAAAGATTCATCTCTTTTTTAACAACAGAACACTGCTTGTCATACCAAGGTTTAGTATTTCTACAAATTGGTCTAGCTTCACAACCCAATGGCACAGTCAAAATGGTAGCCATCTCCTGGATCAAGTTCTGATAGGCACTTAATGGGTCCTCGTTGGAATTGGTATTTGTAAATGGTGTGATATATTTTTGTAGGTTTTCTGAGTTCAAAAAATCTTTTATTTTGCACCGGAGCTTATTGGCCCATCTTAATCTTTTACCATATCTGTTAAGTGACATCCTATTAAGCCTCTGTTAAAGTGTCAGAAAATTTTTCCAGGCCCCATGGCAACCCTACTTCTGGTCTTTTTTTTTTAAGGAGAATACTTAGTCCACATAGATGTATTGTTTCATCGAGGGCGTAAAAACAGGTTGGTCCCATCGACTGGAAGAGCAGGATATCAATATCATAAATAAATTCAATGAATTTTCAATGAAAATAGAAAGCTGCACAAATGGAAATGGGTTCAGAAGAAGAAGAGAAGAGATTGGATTTATACCCCGCTCTTCACTACCCACGGGAGTCTCAGAGCGGCTTACAAACTCCTTTCCCTTCCCCTCCCCACAACAGACACCCTGTGAGGTGGGTGGGGTTGAGAGAACTCTGACACAAACTGCTCTTTTTCAAGGACAGCTATGCCAGAGCTTGTGACTGACCCAAGGTCACATCAGCAGGTGCAAGTGGAAGAGTGGGGAATCAAACCCGGTTCTCCCAGATTAGAGTCCGCACACTTAACCACTACACCAAACTGGCTCTCAGAAGCCCATCCAGATCTCCCCTTTCATCGGTCTTCCAGTTGAAATTGCAGCCTCAATAGCTAATTTATTTTCTGAATTGTTTCATGTGATTCTGTTTCATTAGCTGTTTTCTAGTTTGCTTTAGATGACAAAGAAAATTTAATTTTTTAAATGCATTTTGTAATTAGGTGTAATGTGGAGTTACATTCCAAAACGGAGTGAAAATTCTGTTCAGACTGCTGGCTGTCATTCTTTTAGAAGATTGATTGCTACTTAATTGAATGGGATGGTCAGCTGATATTTCATCGATGGCAGCTAATAGTTAGGAGATGGTCTGCTGATAGCTGGGAATGAGATACTCATCAGAGCTTGAAGAAGGTGACACTCCTTTAGATGAAGGGAAGTGGCAGAGAAATTGTACATGCAAGGAACCAATTTAACCATGAGGACTGTTAAAGAAACAGCAGGCAGATTGCAAGAAAAGCTATGAAGAGTAAAGGCTGAAGGAGTGCAGGATTTCTCACTCTTCTGCTATCTAATGTGGTCTAGTTGATCTTGACACCATAATCCGGACAGACAAAACAAAGTACTTATTCACAGAACCATATAATTAACTAGTGGAACTCAATCCTACAGGGAATAGTGATGACCTCTAGGTTAGATGATTTGAAAAGGGAACTAGAGGATAGGTCCATTGAGAAGGGCAGGTCCATCAATGTCTGTTAGTGAATGGGACCTCCATTTTCAGAACTAGAATACCTCTGAATGCTAGGTACTGGGTGGGCAGCAAAACGGGCAGGCTTTGACTTTTGTGCGTGTGGACTTCCAAGGTATTTGATTGGCCACTGTGAAAAACAGGAAACAGACCTAGAGGTCATCACTACATCCTGTGGGATTGAGTTCCACTAGTTAATTATATGGATATATCTTCGACTTTATCCAGCAATTCCCTTATATTTTGTTGCAGGAATGTCTTTATTTATAGAGTGCCTGAATATTTGTAAATAAAGGAAATGTTACAAAGACATTTGCAAAGATGTCTCCTCCTCCTCTTCCTCCTTGTTGGCTGCTTGGAGTAGGGAAGAAGAAACTATGTTGTCCTCTTGTTACTGTGGCCCCTTATACCATTTTGATCATAAGGATCTCCCAACCCTCCGAGAGGATTTTCAGGACAAGCGGTAGGGCGCTGGGTGAAAGGGAAGATGGATTTCCACCAATGCTTTCCATAAGCTTTCCACAGGATCCAATCCAATTAGTGCCATAGGAATGAATTCAGGGAATGTATACCAAGAAGCTAAAATAATGGTAAATGTAAGGCAGATGTGATTTTAGGGAGAAACCAAAATGGAGACATAGAGTAGCAGATTACATTGATCTAGAAAGAGTCTAATGTTAAGTTATGTGTCTTCAGTTTCTTCATTAGGAAGTACTTCTATATCATCTTCTAAAGAGAATAAAACCTCTCAAACAACATCAACCCCTGTAGAGATACTATCAACTACAAACAATAGCAGCTCTACAAGTAAGTATAACATTTCTCTGTTTTATTGTGGAATTCATTATAAACTAAACTTGGGGGGGTAATTGCTTTGAGTTGTCAAATATAGACAGTATACTAGTTCAAGAGATGAAATTTTCCAAGTCAAGGTAACCATGTTTAGGCTGTTTTTATTAGTGATATAGTACTAGCCATATCATTTAATAATATTTTATTATTAATGTTTTATATTTGTTGTTTGTTTTTATATTGTTTTTACCTTGTTGGTTTTAATGTTGTAAGTCACCGCAAGACCCTTTGAGTGAGCAGTGACTAAAAAAATCTAATAAGTAAAAACTAAATAAAGTAAGAGGACTTCCCTACCCTCTGAGTACTGTTAAGAGGCATTTTTAACGTGGTAAGTTACATGAATTAATGAATACTGCTGGGTGAAAATAATCTTTAATTAGTTATAATAAATGTAAAATATTTTTTTTGAAAAATGATGAGCGACTGGAAATACAAATTATAGTGTGTCAGTAGATCTGCTCAATTGCCTACTAGTTCATTTCACATCCTGCTGGTAGGTTTTGAGCAAGGAGCCAATTACTCAGCAAGCTCTTTGGAGGCATCCAAGTGAATTTGGATACGTCCATTTGCATGAGTACACTGTTCTCTCACTTGATCAGACTCTCTCACCACCATCCTGCCCACCCATCTGCCACTTGTGCTGCCTCCATTTTTAAAAAGGACACCTTGGGCTGGATTCAGCCAGTTTGTCATCCAATTCCCCTCCTTACTATAGCCTTCCATTCCCACATGACTTTTGTCCATGCAGGTCTCATGATCCATAGCATAGCCTTTTGGTGGTCAAAGGGACCCCCCTTTTGCCTCAAGTTGAAAAGCTGGTCATATCCAACCCATAGTAAAAATCTTAAAATCAGTTTGAGATCTTGGAGTTGAGACTTACTACTTCAGTGTCTCAGGGCCAAAACTGACAAGATGTTTTAGCACTAGTTCTCTCAACCTGACTCTGATCATCTCACAGTCAGATATGACCAGCAGGAAACTGATGCCAACAGATTTGGGTCAGGACCATAGTGTAGGTGGGGTGGCGAGAATGTAATTCAGCAACCTCCACCACCCCCAGGGCTGTTTTCCCAATACGAAATGATCATGGGATGCTTCGATTTGCCCAACTGTACATGTGCCCCCAGACCCGATTCACACCAAAATGTTCCCTCTCAAGCTGGCTGCATGCAAGCAGAAGACGAGAGGCAGCTTTAGAATAAAGTCCACATGAGGCTTATTGCTTTAAGAAAGGAAAAGATATTCTTTATTGGTAAAGAAGTCCATAGTGTCATTGGAAAGGCAAGGTAGGCATTCTTTCTAACTAGGAGATGGAGAGGGATTCAGAGGGCACTTGCTGACTGCTTGGAAGTTGGAGGGAGAGCACAAAGAAAGGGAGGGTGCCAGAAGTCCCTAAGAATAGCAATGTGAGAACAAAGAAGTAGCAGCAGAAGAGATAAAGGATAGCAGACAGAAGGATTTGACCTGTTCGCCTTGCTAGCTCTAATTCCCCTTCTCCAGTAAAGGTAAAGGTTCCCTTGCTCGAAAGCCAGTCGAGTCCGACTCTAGGGTTGCGGTGCTCATCTCCGTTTCAAAGCCGAAGAGCCAGCGCTGTCCGAAGACGTTTCCGTGGTCATGTGGCCAGCATGACTAAACACCAAGGTGCACGGAACGCTGTTACCTTCCCACAGAAGTGGTACCTATTTATCTACTTGCAATTTCTTGCTTTCGAACTGCTAGGTTGGCAGGAGCCTTCTCCAGTACTTGGCGCAAATAGGGACTGCTCTGTCCTTCACTTCCAACAGTTTGGATCTCATTGTCCACTCATGAAGCCAGCTAATCTTGAAGTCAGTACTTGTCATCACTTCTCAGATAGAGGCTGCTGATGGCAGAGGTGCCAAAAAAATGCATTTGATCTGATGGCAGTCATTTGGTGGAAGCATCTGTCTGTGCAGGTGCAAAGAGAGAACAGAAAGCAAGTGATTCCATGCTGTGTACAAGTTGGTTAATTCAATGGCCCTGAGGCAAAGTGCCATTGGTAAATGCGGCAGTTTTGTTCTTGAACTGGGCGAAAACATAGCTGCAAACTGCAACAACCAAATGGCTACTGATCAGCATGGTACTCTGTGCTTGTGAGAAACTTTCATAGGGAACGTGGAGGGGATCCATTCATGCACCCTCTCTGCATGTCATCAAGGGGGGTGGGTTTAATCGAGATTTGTTTGTCAGTCAGGCATGTTAACTGTGAAGTTCATTGCCCAGTGCTGGCATAACTACAGTCCAGATGGCTCTCACTGGGAAATATTGTGCTCGCTGACGCCTTGCATATATACCAGTCCTGGTATTAAAATACAGCATTCCCATTTAAATGGAAGAACACCGTCTGAATCTTGTACAACAGTGTAGGATCTACTGCTCATTCTGTCTTCAAATTCCATAGTCAAAGAGAATATAAGACTTCAGTTATGGAAAGTGCAGCCAAGTTGCAGCCAACTTATGCCAACCACATAGGGCTTTCAAGGCAAGAGATGAACAGAAGAGGTTTGCCATTGCCTGCCTCTGGAACTTCCTTAACTGTCTCCCATCCTAGCACTAACCAGGACCAACCCTGCTTAGCTTCCAAGATCCAGTGAGATCAGGCTATCTTGGGCCACTCAAATGAGAGCATATAATACTTTATGTCTGTAAAGTGCCGTCAAGTTGCAGACAACTTGCAGCAACCCCAGCAAGGGGCTTTCAAGGCAAGTGAAGAGCAGAGGTGGTTTGCCATTGCCTGCCTCTGCAGAGTCTTCCCTGGTGGCCTCCCTTCCCAAGTAATGATCCTGCTTAGCTTCTGTGATCCAAGGAGATCAGGCTAGCCTGGTCCATCCAGATCAGGGCATGTAATACTTTAGCCACCTGCAAAAGGTTATTTCTATTTCAGTCTTCTGTCAACCTGCTGGGTAAGTGTAAGTTTTTCCTTGAATGGCTCTGGAATGCCACTACAGCATATGAGGCAGAGGTCATTTCGAGGGGGATCGCGGGGGATCGCAGTTCCCCAGGGTGAGGTACGGGGGGTGGGGCACATGACGAAGCCCCACCCCCTGCTTCCGGCTGCCCCGCTTCCGGCCCTCATTCAGCCAGGAGGAGCCAGGAGAAGAGGGAGGGTAAGTTGCTTCCTCCCTGCCTCTCCCCACCCTTGCCTGCCTGGGGCCAGGGAGGGCCTTCAAGGGGCTTCCTTGCACTCCCGCCGACGGTGGTAGCCGGGACCATTGGGGGCGGGGTGTGTGGCCTTATGACACATTTCCGGTGATGTTAGGGGGTGTGGCATATGCTAATGAGTTATGCTAATGAGTTCCCCTAGCTCTTTTTCTACGAAATGACCCCTGATATGAGGCCATTGCTACTGAACACAGTAGATTTTTTAAAAAAGAGAGCAGCACACAGAAGAATTGCACATGTAGCTATCTCAAGTTAGCATATTGTTGAAAGGTGATCTTTTCTTTTATGCTAACCCATAGCCCATGGTTTCTCTTTTTGCTGCAACGAAGGAAGGAAGGAAGGAAGGAAGAGGAAGGAAGGAAGGAAGGAAGGAAACATTTCACACAGCTTTATTGATGCCACTGAAGTGGTCCAGTGGGCTCTTGTTTTTTTACTGATGTATTTACTTTATTTATATCCCACCTTTCTCCCCAGTGGGGATCCAAAGCAGCTTACATCATTTTCTTCTCCTCTGTTTTATCCTCACAACAACCTTGTAGGGTAGGTTAGGCTGAGAGTCTGTGGCTGGCCCAAAATCACCCAGCAAGCTTCCATGCCATGAGTGGGGATTTGAACCTGGGTTTCCCAGATCTTAGCCTGAACGCTTTAACCACTACACCAAACTGGCCCTCCAACCTGCATTTCACACAGATCCTGATAAACAGACACAGACCCCTGCATGCGCATTGTGACTCCTTTCTCTTTAGGGATCTTCCTTATAGTCTTTTTAAACAAATATTTATTTATATATTTTAATGTACATAACATGTAAATGCATTATCAATCAATAAACACTTTACATTGAGTCTGTTATTAATCAGTATTGTTTAACCAATTATATAATCTCAACCATTTTTTCAAAAAAAATCCCCTTTCCTTTGAATTAACAAGCTTAATTTATCCATTTCTGCTAACGTTAACAGCTTTGAATTTATCTCTTCCCTACTGGGAGTTTTTTCTAATTTCTAGTATTTAGTTGCATACATTTTGTTTAAGGTGAAACAGACATAGTTCACAAAATCCAATCTTTGGATTTAATTCTTGTTACTCTTTTAAAAAAAAAAAAATATCCGGACATAATCCAGTGAAACCCGGTCATGGCTGAGGCTGCAACTGAATGCACAGTTAGATGGGACTTACTTCTGCATACATCTGCACAGGGCTAGCCTGCATGCGCCGTTGAAAGAAACTGATTAATTTAGAGGAGCCAGGGCTCACCAATGGAGCACATAGGCTTGTTTCAGTTTTTATCTATTCCAGATGCATTTGATTATGCTTCACAGCAGGGGATTTCAGACTCCTCGAACACTAGCCTCAAACTCCTCGAACACCCACCAAAAGAGAACCTGTGATAAACACTGCAGAAAATGAATCCATCCCAAGAACTGAGATTTGACAGCTCCCTTAGAAAGCTGTGCACATGACAGGAAAGCACAGTGTCCTCTTTAAGCAACACAGAACATTTTTCCCCTCCTCCACTGACTCAGCCAATCAAAACAGCGGCTATCTTTAAAAAAAATTCTGCTCAAAATAAAGGGCACCTTCTCTGTGTCTTTCCCTTAAGTCAGTCTTCGATTATCTGAATGAACTTCTGAACACTTACATATGACTTTATTGCTGTATTTATCAAATGTATACCCTACCACTCCCTTGACAAGTGAGGCTTGGGGTGGTTTACATCAAATTAAAATACAATTCAGTAAACAGTCTTAAAAGCAATCATAATAGTAAATATACCGCACAATTTAAAACCAGCTATATAAATCTCCTATTGAACATGGCTGCATCCAACAGTAAAATGACCTGGTGGAAACAACAGAAGAATCACAAGACACACTCAATGACTAATTAAAAGCCTGTTGGAGGAGCTCTGTCTTTCAAGCCTTGAGGAAATAACAAGGTCCTGCAGGGCATATGTGTTCGCTGGCAGAGCATTCCACCAGGATGAGGCCACCACAGAGAAGGCCCTTGCCCTGGTAGAGGACAGGCAAGCCACTCAAGGGCCAGGCATCTATGTATGTTTCGGGGAAAGGTAGACTATGCATTGGTTGGAGTCCCAGGCAAACTAGACATGATTTTGAAAAAAAGAGTTGGGTCCATACAGCAGCTTTGGGGAACATCAGTTTAAGTATAAAGGGGAGCCCAATGGTCTCAGAACATTGCCATGGGGGAAGGAGAGGCTCATGCTGCTATTTCTGCACTGGAGCAGTGCTGCGGAGGGGTACTTTCAGGTGGGCAGCCATGCTCATTTGCAGTAGAAGAGCAAGATTCAGGTCTAGTAGAACCTTAGAGACCTTAGATATCATACTCAGGGTATTATCTTTCAGGAGTTAAAGTACCCTTCATCAGATACAGTGCTGGGAGGGAGTTATTTCTCCATTTTCACTGTTGTGCATGCATGGAACGCTCAACATGGAGTGGCAAAAATGGCCAAATAATTCTGCCCCAGCATCGTTTGGCATGAAAAAAATGGTGGGGGGAGGCAGGACCACTCCTCCTCTCATGGTGGCATTCTGAGCCCAATTGGACTCCCTCCCCTTTATTCTTTTAAACTGATGTTTCTGCAGCTGCTGCAGGGAGACAGAGTTAAGTCCAGAGTTCCTGGACTCAACTCTTTTAAAAAATATCATGCCTAATTTGGCCATAAAATGTGGGAGACTGAGGTTCAAATCCCCACTCTACCATGGATGACCTTAGGCCAGTCACATGCTCTGAGCCTCACCTACCTCACCTAGAACAAAATGGTGAAGGGGCGAACAGTATTGTAAGTGGCTTTGGGTCCCCATTGGGGAGAAAAGTGGAGCATAAATATCTAAATACGTGTATGATTATATAAGGAGTTACCACAAGATCTTCATTCACTGTTCAGCTCTCTACCCAAGCTTCATAACTTACCCTGCAAACATACATACCAATAAATAGAATGCGAGCTCCGCTCCCAGTCTTTCCCCCACTTCTCGTGTATCATTTTTACTATTCTTTAAAGATGTACAATATATGTACAATATATATATTTACATGTTTTTGGATATATGTCCATCCTTCATCCAACTTTCACACACACTGATACAAGTAGCCATTAAAAATCACACACAAAATAAAGAAGTCTGGAAACTGAGGAGAAAAAAATGTGCTGATCATGTTACAGGTGCTAGCCAATAGCTACCCCCAAAGCTGGGATTTTCCCCATTCAAGATGTACTGCAATAAGCTCCTGCAGAATATTTTTCCAGAGCTCATACTAGGAAAAGTTTGTTAATTTCCAGAGTTATGAAGATATTATAAAGTTATATTGTTTTACTTGTTGGTTTTATTGCATAAATGTGTGTACGTGTGCTTAAGACTACTGGTCATGCAAGCCGAAATAAAATATATATATAAAGTTATATCGGTGCCCACAGACAAATTTCAGAATTAAGCCAATGTTTGCTTGTTTCGGGGGGGGGGGACTAGAAAAGGGGCTGTGATCTTTGTAGCCCAGTCCTTTATATGTTGACTCAGGGACAAACCCCATGAATGTGGTGGGGTTAACTCTGTAGAATTGCATTCTAAACTCTGTTCCCCACAAACTGCTGCAGCATGGCTGCTGCTTGTGCCTGATCACATCAGTACTGTCTGCAACATGTGCTGGGCAGGTGACACACTTCCTTCCTCAGCCACTACTACTTCACACACACATGAAGCTGCATGAACTTTATACTGAGTCACATTATTGGTCCATCAGGGTCAGTATTGTCTACTCAGACTGGCAGGGGCTCTCCAACTTTTAACGCTGAGGACTTTCACATCATCTCTTACTTGGTCCTTTTAACTGGAGGGGCAGGGGACTGAACCATGGAACTTCTGCATGCAAAGCAGAGGCTCTTCCACTGAACCACAGCCTCTTACTTTCCTGGCTTACATGTATGGGGAGAAAGGGAAGGAGCAGGAGCTTTCCCATGAATTCCCAAAAGTTGCATCCAAGCCAGTCAGTGGCAGACATATTTTCAAATTTGGCTGTGGCAGATGTGTGATAACAGTATTCAAAAAAATCTCTGATCATTTGAATTTCAAATCACCACTGTGCTACTTCTTGTTCTGTGCATTCTTCAACAATGGGCTTTTTTGCGGTTTCTCTAACGCTTCAGGGAAAGCTGTTCTTGCCTCGCTGTTGTATTCAGATATTCAGTGAAGGTGCTTAATTTTACACTGTGCTTGCAGCAAAATGAGCTCATCTCCCCTCCCTCAAAAAAGTGGCTGGGACCAGAGGATGTTCACACAACATCGCTGGAGAATGACTCTGGTTCCCGCCTGCTTGCCTACTGATTATTCTTTTGACAAAATATGTTTTGAGCACAGCAGTTAACACACTGTCATTTATCTTATCAAAATATCAGCAGGTACTACCCATTCACTTCCACCGAGTAATGAGACAGCAGCATCCGAGTTGACACCAACGGCTATCGGTAAGACATCGTCTTGATAGTCTAATTCATAATCAAGCGTTGACAAGTGGCCCATTAAACAAGGACGGCATGCCGTGATGCTTTGTTGCAGTTTCAGGTCCCCTGCTGCTGACTTGGGCAGAGGTCTTTTACTACAGCTGGCTGAATAATAGACCTGATGAATGGCCACAGGGATATGTCAAAGGAGGCATATCCCAGCATGCTCCAGGAAAGCTTGCAAAGGGTTCTACCACAGAATGCTGAACCCCCAATGGGGCAGGATTTTCTGCTTCTGCCTCCTATTTCCAAATAAGGGTTCCCTGTGAAGGCTTCATAAAGCAGAGGACCTTTTGCTGGCACATGATATCTAATGCACCTCTAGCAGTGAGAGGTGGCACCATATGCGTCAGTGCACTGGCTAGGCTGGACACCCAAACAGCCCCTCCTGTCAGAAGCTTAAGACCACAGCATTTTTTCTTTTTAAATTTTTCTTCCCACCATAACTCACACCTTAGACATAATATGAAGCCATTTCATATCGATATATAATAGTGGTTTGTTGCTTTGTTTATTTTCAAAATATTTGTACCCTGCACACTCATTGCCCTTGCAAGGACACAAAAACATAAGGGTCCAGCAGCTAGTTAACAATTTATTCTCCACCAAACACCCTGTGGAACAAAGTATTCTTACTCGCTTTCCTGAATGCAGCAAGTGAAGGCGCCCCCACACTTATGCTGATAGGTTTTTCCAAAGGAATGGGCCTACCAAGGAGAAAGGCTGTGTAGGCAAGGATAATGTCAGAAGACAGAATGTGGAATTCAGTGCCGGAGGATGTAGTGATGGTCACAGGAATAAACAGCTTTAAAAGGGGATTAGACAGATTCATGGAGTATAGGTCTATGAGTAGCTACTAGCCATGGTGACTGAGGGACTAAAACTCTGAATCACAGAGCCAGGAGGCAACATCAGGGGAAGGTCTCGGCCTCTATGCCCTGTTGTTGGCCCTCTGGAGGAACTGGTTGGCCACTGTGTGAGACAAGATGCTGGACTAGATGGACCATTGATCTGATCCTGCAGGGCTTTTATGTTCTTAAGCCTTCCTGGGGAATGTAACTGGTGCATGGGAGTACACCAGAGGATTCTACAATCCAGGAAAATCCCACTAAGTGCAAAGAAGATGCTTATATGTACCCAAGCAGGGCTTCTGAATTTCTAAAAATAATATGCCATCTCCATTCCTTCTGTTCACTAATTAAAATAGATGTTGAAGACCTCTGAATTATTTTTTGTTTTAAAATCTTCTGGAACTGATCAGGGGCTACAGTTTAGCTGGGGGAAGGGTGCAAACCTTGTTGAGCATGAATCATGTAGTTGCTGGTTTGAGGTCTAGGCCTGGTGTACATTCAAGATTTCTTGAAAGCCATGTTTCCTGTAGCAATTAGCTTATAGTGGTATGATCTTTTTTTAATGCTTTTGTTATCATGGATCAGTGACTGGGCCATGCTGTTTCTGCTGATCATTTTTTTTCTGCCCAAAACACTTTTCTTTCAGGAGATCTTTTCCTTTGCAGCTTGAAGCTGCAAAATGGCCTCGGGTTACTATTTAGAATACACTGTTTTTGCCCAGGGCATTTAAAGAAGAAAGGGTAGCTTCAAAATAATCTGCCTGCATTTCTGCTCTAGGAATTCAAAGTGATCAAAGACCCTCCCAGGTATTTATTTGTGATGCTGCCTGAGTAACTGACATAAATGTGTGCGCACATGTCTGTGTTTTCTTCTACACAAAGCGAAACAGAGGCATTCTTAATGTAGACAAGGCCAACATATTTATTTCATAATGTGAGAACAAGCCCTTAGTGAACCCTGTTCTCTACTGTGATTTACACCCATGACAGGGAGAATTGCATGGCATAGGCCTTGCTGGGGCTGTACCACTTCAAAATAATTCGTGCAGAGGGATTTCCTGTTTAAATACTTCCCCCTATAATTTGTCTTATACAAACACCATAGTACGAGAATTAAAAGGAGCATAAAATAACAAAACACATTCAAGCACAGAAAATAAATAAATAACAGCAAATAATAATAATGTAAGACCCTGATTCTGGGAAAGATTGAAAGTCAAAGAAGAAGGGGATGGCAAAGGACGAGATGGTTAGATAGTGTTATTGATGCAACAAAAATGAAATTAAGCAAACTCCGGAGCACGATGGAAGGCAGGAGGGCCTGGCGTGATGTGGTCCATGGGGTCGTAAAGAGTTGGACTCGACTGTGCAACTGAACAACAACAAACAAACAAATAACAGCAAACAACAAAACCCAAATTAATCAATTAGCAACAAGCAAGACATTTATTCCAGAGTGCAGATCACAGAGCAGATGACACAACACTGCCTTGCCTGGCATCTAAAGGCCAGTAAAGAAGAGACAGGGCAAACCTCCATACTTTTAGTGCCACTACCAAGAAAGCTGTGTCTTGTGTGACCACACACACACCCTCAGCTGGTGTGGGAAATTCCTCAGGACCTCCAATGATCTTAGTGGTGCCACTGGACTCTACAGATTTCACTCATGGGTTTTAGCATCCTAAAAATCTGTGTGACAAAGACTAGAAGGAAGAAGTGTAACAGTGCAATCCCAAACAGTTTCTGCCTTGTACTGAATGGTAAGACTCAAGTTGTCGTACTTTCATTGGGAGTTATTTCTGCATTGACTCACTGAACCCTGCTGTAAATCATGGTGCGATTTACCACTGGGGATATTCCAGATCACATGGGATGTTTCCATGACAGTGACAGATGTTCCTAGAGGTATCTGTTGTTGGTGTGGATATTGTGCATGGTCTGTAGGATCCATGTGACAGAAACAGACTCCATGGAGTTGGGTGTTGAGAGTGACCATATGGAAGTGACTTATGGGACTATGTTTCACATGCTTCAACTGAGGGTTTTTATTTCTTTTCAGGTCCAGACATTACCACAACTGGAAATGTCACAGGGAATCAAACACTCCCAGAAAGCAAATCTCAAAATACAACACAAAGTGAGCCTGACAGTACAGGTGAGTTAAAGGAAGAGAGCCTGGTCTCCTAGCCAATATATAGCCACGGTTTGAGAGGCAGGGAAACGGGGTCATGCTTGTTTGTTCTTGACTGCTTCATTGATTACAGACTTGGGGTGCCAGAAGTCATGCTGTGAAATTACATTTTTGTGCACAAAGATGACATATTTACTTTGTAATGTGTGAATGGCCATGCAAATGCTGTTGTTGTTGTTGTTTCATCTCTTTAATAGGCTGGACCGGCCTTCAGCATTACCCACACACACACACACATACACACAGAGAATCACCTGCATGTGCTCACTTCTGGGTTCATGTGCCGCCTATGAAAGTCAGTTAAATGGAATCCCTTCCTATTTCCCTGGTTTGTGCCCACCCCTATATTCTGCTACATGAAAAATATTTGCTTGAAATATTCTAAATAAAACAATATATCCATAAATTCCAGACAGCTGTTATTGATGGGTTTAAACAAATGCAGAAGTGAGTGACTCCTATATTTGTAAATATAGCAAATGATTCATTCCAAGAATTTAAAGAAGAAGACGTGTGAGTTTATGAGATCTTTTGGAATTGTCCAAAGAACTGGATAAATCTTTTAATACATGTATAAAATCTCAAAATAGTTGAACCAGAGAACTGATACCAGGAAAATGTTTATTAAGCACAAGATTATCACATAGGCAATAGATGTCTGAAGTTCAAGAAAATGTCCAAGGAAACATGAATGCTAGATAATTTTTACAGAAATAACATCACTTGGTCAACTGTTGGTAATCAGCATAAGAGCAATGTTAACTCAAAGAGATTAGGATCAGATCAAAACTATCTAATTTTAATGAGGCCACTTCTGTTAGTGAATGGAACTGCATCAAAACCTCAACAAAGCATTATATAAAACATCTGGTATTTCCAGCAAATTAATTTTCTTAAACTATATTAATGCTTCCATCTAAAAACCTGTCAAGTAGAGAGAATTTATCCAGTGTAGGTCTGTTTTAAGCAAATGATATTAATCTTGCTTAAATTTATGTACTGGAAGTAGATTGAATATAAATGTATTGTGTTATTGTCAAGCATCTTGGTTTTCATTTGGAATGGCTTCAGAAGTTACAATGATGGGAAGGGAACAGGAAGTGCATGTGTTTCCCACTTCCTGTGTCCACCCTTGTCCCTCATTGCCCCATTTTTCCTGCAGTAAGCTGTGACAAACATCCCCCTAAGTTTTCATGAGGTAATACTTGCAAGCAAGGTAATTGCCTGGTTAAATTAAAAACAGGGAAATGATTTCAGTGTTATATGAAATTATACAGAATTATAATACTGACTGCTGTATCCAGTACCATCTAACTGGATATCATGTGATGATATATTAACATTTTCTCTTTCAGATAGGGAATGATATTTGTATTGGAAATATATAGAATTATATATTTAGAAGTACTGCTCTTATTACTATAAAACTGTTCAACTTGACAGCATGTAATGCACACCTACACACAAAGATTATGTTGAGGGTCCCTGCCACACGAGGGACAAAAAGAACGGGTAAAGTGCAGCTTTTAAAAGCCGCACCAAAATAGGCACGGGGCGGCGGGATCATACAGATCCCGTGAGCCGCCATGCAATTGCTCCCCGGCACAATCAGATGCCAGGGAGACCGGGGAGGAAGCCACAGGAGGCTGCCGAACTGCGCATGTCTGAGCATGCGCAGTTCGGCCACGACCCGTGGATGCGCTGGCGGAAGAACGCGCCGGCGATCCCACGGCCAGCTTTGATGCGGCTGTTCAGAAAGAACCACCTTGGTAGATGGTTCTTTTTTGTTGCGGATTATCGCCGGAAGGGCCGGATCAGGGATGGGCACGCAACGCTTCCCAGATGTTGCGGTGGGATCGCGCCCGTTTGCTCCATCCCCAATCTGTCCCTCTCCCGGCCCTAATCCTCTCGTGTGACCGGGGCCGAGGTATATCTTTTGTATATTTGTTTACACTTAATTAAAAAAAATCATTCTGCTTTAACATCAGGTACAATACCTTGTGTCTGTCATCACTGCAGTGATTATCAGCAGCCCAGGCCACAGTCAACTCAGATTCTAAAGCATTTACACATCTGTCTCAGACCTCATACAACCTGCTAATTCTTTTTATTTTAAAATACTCCGTCCCCTGTGTGTGTTACCATGATGAGAGGGAAATGGTGGTGGTGAGAAGGAAATGGCCTTAGGATAGTGAATATGGTCTTTGGTCTATATATCAGAGGTGTGCAACCCTGAGTAAAAGTGCTGACAGCAACACACCAGACCATTTTTATGGACACCCAGGACTCAGAGTCAGATCTCTGCCCATGCAACCAAGTAGCGTTGGCAGGTACTGCCAGTGGGGCGTGGGGTGGGGACTTACCAGAAGTGAAGAGAGACCTAGGATAGAGATTTGGGGACACTCTGGTATTTGGGCAAGAACTCTACGATAGAACTAATTTTTGTCATAGAGCCTGCGTTGCTGGGGGAGTGAAGACATTATTTTCAGAGTGCATTGGAAGTGACATTGCTGCATTGTTGCAACACCACCCTAGGCCTCCCTTTGCTGCCAGTAAGTCCCCCCACCAGCTGGTTGATTGGCTTCAGGGGAGAGGCACCTGGCAAGCCTTCCGCCCAGGCATCGTCAGCACTGCTGGGGCCAGTGGTGCAGAAGAAGGCAATAGGCATGATTTATGCCCATCATTGCCTCCCAGACCTACACAGCCACCAGCTGAGTCCAAGCATGTCTGGCCAAGTACAGCCCTTCACACTCCATTGGTTTGGAAGCACACTGGCATTTTTTTTTTAATCAATTGGGTCTACCTCTGGACTATACACTGCCATGTGAAATTTACATTGTCTCAAAACAGCTCATCTCATCTCATCTGTGTTTTAGATCTCCTGGTATACCCCTCGAAGAGCATTACGCTCAGCTGATGAGAACTTGCTTGTGGTCCCTGGACTGAGAGCTATCCAGCTGTCCTCAGCCAGGGCCAGGGTTTTTAGTGCCCTGGCCCCAACATGGTGGAACTCTCTGCCAAGTAACATCTGTGCCCTGTGGGACTTGTTACAGTTCCGCCGGGCCTGTAAGGCAGAGATGTTCCGCCAGGCATTTGGTTGAGGACAGCAACAGTGTCCATCATAGCTGGCACTCTCACCCCCTCAAGGCGGTAGCACAATTGGAAATTGGACTGCCATCTGTTTAAACTGCATTGCTATGATGAATTCTATTGTAATGTTTACTATTTTACTAAATTGTTGTTTTTAGTGTTTGTGGTTTTAGTGTCTGTTGTACACTGCCCTGTGCCCTACTTGAATATAATATTGAATTGAATAAATGATTCCTCTTTAGATCACAAGTGACAGTAGAGGAAAAGCTGGCTGCATTTGTGCTCGAGGACTAGTTATCTGTTCTTTTTTAAGAGCAAAGCACCTTGATAATGACCCGCAAATACTTAATTTGAATGACAGTTTTCTTTCCTAGGAAGCGACTCTGGAAAAACAAAACAGGTGCTGGATAGTTCCTCTTACATCAGTGAGTAATCTTGGTTCCTTCTTCCACCCAATTCCCCCTTAGTCGCTTTTGTGGGAAGAAACAGTTTGGCTTTAAGGTGGCTGACAAACTGGAACTGTCAGCCTCATCTCTGTACTTGGTGAGCCATGAACCAAAAACAATCCTCCTGTCTTGTCTGAGACTTCTCTGTACGAAGGAGAGGAGATAATCAGCCCTGAAACAACCCTGCAGTGCTTTCACCTTTGAGCTCCACATTTATTCGCGAGCAAGGAGGTCAACGCAATATAAGTGAGAAGCCTGAACCACAACACCCTTATGGAAGGTTGAGAAAACAGTACCGGCACCCAAATAGCTCACTGTCCTCAGACCTTTCCTTTAACAAAGAAAAAAAAAATTCAAGGCAACATTTTTGGCATGTACAGCCTTCTGGTGTTAGCCACAAGCTGTTGTAACTTTGATTGCCAACTGGCTGAGGAAATTCCTGGGGATTTGGAGGCAGTGCCTGAGAAAAGCAGAGGAAGCTCAGCAAGGATGTGATGCGGCTGTTTTTCCAGGGGGACTAATCTTGATAGTCTCTGTTAAGTTGCTCGCTTAACAAATTAGTCAGAGAGTGATTTAGCAAGAACACAACTTTATTCTTCAACTCGAACACAACTCCAACACGGATCAACATCTGATAGCCAGAACAGCCTTTACATTGCAGCTGTCCTGCTTTTAAACATTTCCGGCTAATGTAGCCACACCCACTGTACAAATACCAACCAATGAGGTTGTTCGTATAAGGACCAATTACGGACGTTCCCGCTCAGGGAGCTTGCTGTGAAGTGATTGGCTTGTTACTTCCTGGGCTAGCGATACGATTGGATGTCTTTGGATCCTAGCCCAGGACGAAGCTTTACATTACACTTCAATTAGATGTTTCACAACATGTCATGCATTCAAGGCAGCTTTGAATACACTACAGTCTGGAGATCAGTTGTGTTTCTTAGAGAACTCTAGGCCCTGTGCCGAGAATGGTAACCCTAACTGCTGGTATGCAGGTGCTACTGGCTCAGTGTATTGCGCAGTAATAAAACAGTGTGTCTACATTGTAGGGAGAGGTTTTTTGTAGTTAATTTTTTTCAAAAGGGACAGATATGTATGTATTTATGTGGAAATGTACATATATGGTTTTACCAAAGAGTTTTTAGTGATTTCCAGACAGGCATGACATCACTTCCAGGTTTTTCCCAGAAGTGATGTAACACTATTGTTGATGGCAGCCCTCACTGTTCTCATCTGCCTGGTCTCCTGCTGGTTTCCTGGCAGCCTTAGTAGAGGCACACAAAGTTATCTAAAGTAATTTAGGTATTTCTGCCCTAGCTATAAAGCCGATACTTGGTAAACCTCCTGCAACATCCTGATTTTTAGAAATATCAGGACATTTTCAGACACCACACAAATCCTGTCCACAAATCATGGTGGTAAAAAATAAGGCCAAGGCCGATGGTGCAAAATAAGGTAAAATTATATTTTACCTTGTCCTCTTTTTGAAGAACTACTGCAAGACAGACAGATTCCTCTGACAAAGACTGTTGGCAAAATGCATAGGGAATTTTTGGGAATTTTAACTGAAGGGGAAAAGAAGAAGATATTGGATTTATATCCCGCCCTTCACTTGGAGTCTCAGAGCAGCTTACAAACTCCTTTCCCTTCCCTTCCCCACAACAGACACCCTGTGAGGTGGGTGGGGCTGAGAGAACTCTGACACAAACTGCTCTTTTTCAAGGACAGCTGTGCCAGAGCTTGTGACTGACCCAAGGTCACATCAGCAGCTGCAAGTGGAAGAGTGGGGAATCAAACCCGGTTCTCCCAGATTAGAGTCCGCGCACTTAACCACTACACCAAACTACAATATAATTTTGCCTGATTTTGTACCATTGGCCTTGGCCTCATCTTTTATCCTGTGACAGTCCTTTTACTTTCTTCTTGTCACAAATCATGGTGGACACACGTACAATCTGTGTGCAACTGATTTTTCTTTATGCAGGTGTAGGCTTACACATGCATTGAGTGTCATGTTGAACACATGTATGGCTCATCGTATGCTTTAAATCCCGTATATATCCCCTACTGGTCACTAGTTCAAGCAGCCTTGAATCACAAGAAAAGGCGGCTTATAAATACTTTAAATACTAAATAGACAGTTTCATTTTTAAAGTGAATGTGTGTTGTCTTTTTCTTATAAACAGATTTACCTGCAGGATTTGCATGCATGCAACGTAATATGGGGAAAGGGCTAAAGAAAGCAGCAGTTCTAGCACAGAGCAAGTAAAATCGTTTAACAGGATGTAATGTTTATACACAGTTTTTTATACACACGTTTACACAAATTAGGACTCTGTGATAGGGGTTGTTAGCATTTCTTATAATTTTGCTGTTCTGAATCCTTGTGGGAAAGGTATTATTAAACCTTAAGGCCTGATGGTATGCATTCAGATGCAGGCTTTGCCACACAGATAGTTACTGCATGGCTGCAAAGCAGAGATGGGGAGAAAATTATCTTCTGTCATAGAGGCTGTAAGCCTGCCACCTAGGGGATATACATGGGCTTAGAAAAGCCTAGCAAGTTAGACAAAAGCCACAGGAAGCTGCCTTATACCAGGTCGGATCATTGGTGCCTCTGGCCACCAAACACTCTGCTGTGCAGGAACTCTGCAGGAAGTCCGGAGGAGGGAGGTGTATTTCTCAATGCCTGCTACCTTTAAATCGGAGGCGCCAGAGTTTGGACCTGGGAAAGCATGTGCTTTGCCTCCAAGGCCTGGCCCCTCCTCAAAAACGTGAATACTGAACTATGTTGTTTATTTTATCATTAAAAAAACACAAATATGGTTGATGACCAACACTAATTAAAATAAATGTTCCCTATTGCATGTTGCAGACATTCTTTTGCCAGTCATCATTGCTTTGATAGTAATAACCCTCTCAGTATGCATCCTGGTGGCTTTGTACAGAATCTGCTGGAAGACAACTCCAGGTCTGTATTCAGTATTTCTTTTCTTTTTTATTTTTTTAAATCAAGTATCTTCTGCATTTCTGGAACGCTCTCTGACTATGTAGAAACTTCTGCCTTGGCTTTGGATGGCCCTCATTATTGCTGCTTTTCTTATTTGCATGGGGCAAGCCAGCTTACTGTAAGATATAGAGAGAAGATGGACCCATGAGGACAAGAAGGGACCAATGAGGACCCTTGCCTCTCTCTCTGGCTCATCTCTGTCCAATCCCCAGCTCCCCTCCCCCATCCCTCTGGCACCAGTTCACATCCCCTTTCATCTTCTCTTCTCATTTACGGCCAACACTGACTGCAACATTTTGGGCCAGTGTGATACAGCATCCCAAAATGCCACCCAATTTCCAGGAGGGCTGCACCCTCTGTGCATGCTCAGTGGTTGCAATTAATTTTCTATTAGTTTATACCCATACATTTTAATTTTTGTATGTTGTTTTAATGGTATGTTGCCTCAAGCAAGACTCTGAAGAACCTGCATAGAAATATCCTAAATAAATAAATGAACTATTTTAAATGATTTTTCTGCCAACCTGGGGGCTCCCCAGGGTTTGCAGAACACCTAAATCACCTCTGTGGCTGGCCCCAGTGTGTGAATTTGCTTATCTACATGGGAGCCAGCCCTTGGTCATTGGATATAGGGATACTCATGGAAGTCTTTTTCGTAGCCTTATGGACCACAAATGTCTGCATCCCTACAGTGCTAGACTGCTCACAGTTAAACTGATTGGACAGTTACACTGATTTGGTGTAGTGGTTAAGTGCACGGACTCTAATCTGGGAGAACCAGGTTTGATTCCCCACTCCTCCACTTGCACCTGGCTGGATGACCTTGGGCAAGCCATAACTCTGGCACAGCTGTTCTTGAAAAAGAGCAGTTTCTGTCAAGAGTTCTCTCAGCCCCACCTGCCTCACAGGGTGTCTGTTGTGGGGAGGGGAAGGGAAAGGAGTTTGTAAGATGCTCTGAGACACCTTTGGGTAGTGAAGGGCGGGGTATAAATCCAATCTCTTCTTCTTCTTCTTCAGCTAAACTAGCTAAAGCAATTCCAGATCTTTAGGAGAGAAGCAGTATTTTATTCTTGTTCTTTTTGCTCTGGATAGTTCTTCTCTATGAACACAGACAAGCAATTCCATACCTATGCCAGAATTTGGAGAATGCTCATATCACAAGATTGGCTACTTCTTTATGTAAAATAAAACCTTCCTTCTTTCATGTAAAAGACTAGCAAATCAGGAAATCTAGGTGAGAACCCTTTTATCCCTGAACTATTAGCTGTCTAGTGAAGGAATCTTGAGATAATATGAATGTTCTTCTCCTTCCAGAGAGGCAAGAGAATGAAACTGAACAGTAAGTTCTTCTACTTCCTTGTTCCATCATGCTACAGCAATTGTGTTATAATAGTGATCTGTCTGAATGCTCAGTTGCTGAAAAGAACAATGGTATTAGATCAAACAGAGAGACGCAGCTGATAGCACAGCCTTCCGCGTTTTTGGTTCAGTGCTTCAGCTGCCCAATAATACATTGCCTCATCAATTACATGTTTTGTGCATTTCTCAAGAAACAGACCAGTCCAAAATTAATGCCAAATAATAGCTTTATTGTTGGCGAGAACAAGGCAGAACAGCGATGCCAGCATGTTGCCCGTGGGTGCCATTGTACCCACTAGTGTGTTCCCTGTTGCTCACGTGCTTCTTCCCCCAATCAAAGACCCATTCCTGGATTTATTCTGCTTCAGTGGAGTAAGAGGTGGACCAGAAGAGCTCAAGAGGAACCATCTTTGTGTCTGCAGGGAGCACCCATTTGGAAACAGGGTCCTCCCCCATATGAGTATGCTTGGCTTGGAATCTTCTAATGTTCTGTGGAACACCTCAGGGTTAAGTGCTTGGAGGCTGTTTGGAGGAACATCCCAATGTTAAGTGTTTGGAGAAACTCTCAAGGCTGCCTTTTTATGATCAGGCTAAAATGAGTTCTGAACAGAACAAGAGCACTATCATAACAGCACTTGCATAACTGGTTGCCAAGTTCTGCACACAATGCCTCCTGCCGTTGGCAAGGCAACATTACAATATCCACCTGGGAAATACACAGGTTTGATCCCTAAAAATACATTGACATGCTCAAATAGATGCAGTTTAGGAGATCGGTTGCCCTGGGAATATTTTGTCAAGCAGTTGCAAGGAGAAGAGGTGATCCTGATGTGAGGAAACAGAGGAGTTTCATGGGGGGAGTATTCATGATTGCTATGAAAGGCTTATGACAATATTATTGAGAAAGTGGGATATGAAATTTGTAATTAATAAAAATAAATAAAAACTCTTTCCCATTCGCTTATCTAATCCATGTGGGGCTCAGATCTTGTGCTTTATCGGTATGTTTCCCATTGCCTAGATAATACCAGTGAGCAGTGTTCCCTCTAAACTGAGTTAGTGTGAGCTAGCTCAGGTTTTTTTAGCCTCTGGCTCACACATTTTTGTCTTGGCTCAGGAAGGGTGGCTCCAGAGCAGACTAATTGATGCAGGAGCCAAATGGCTGGCTCACAACTTTAATGCCAGCAGCTCACAAAGTGGATTTTTTGCTCACAAGACTCCACAGCTTAGAGAGCATTGCCAGTGAGGGGCAGTACTTCAGTGGAATAGCTTCTGCTTTGTGTGCAGAAGGTCCCAGGTTCAATCCCCATCATCTCCATTTAAAAGGATCTGACAATAGGTGATATGAAAGAGTAGACAATACTGACCTTGATGGACCAACGATCTGAATCAGTAAAAGGCAGCTTCATGTGTGTGTTCAGGAGGCTATGAGCGGACAGATTAAAGCAGGGGAAGGGCTAGGCATCATTTCCACATGAACATATGAAACTGACTTATTCCGATTCAGATGATTGGTTTTTGAAGGTCAATGTTGTCTATTTTGACTGACAACAGCTCTCCAGGGCCTCTTCCCATCACATATTGCCCAGTACTTTTAACTGGAGATACTGGAGATTGAACCACTTGGACTTTCTGCCTGCAAAACAGGTAGTGTGCCATGGCTATGGCCCCACCCCGTTGATGGCACACACTTCATTACTACGATTATTGAATTTCATAAGGCAACTGCCTTATGGTAACTTCATAGCTATTTGCAAGACCATGATTAATCAGAGACAGAGTGTTTTCAGTTTCAGCTGGTTTACTTCAATCCTCTATGGGCCCCAAATCAACCCAGGCGTTATCTTCTTCCCAGGTTTGAACATTTCCCCTGGATCTTGTTGCTAGTTTCTGTGGCTACTAAATATTTTAAAGTTAAACACAGAAGTGTCCATGTTGTGCTATTCTCCTAAGATAAGGATCCACTGTTGTACTTTAGAGTTTTTGTTTGTTTGTTTTTTAAATCAGGCTATCCAGTTGTGGATTTCTCAAAGAATCTGTTTTTGACCCTTTGACCTGTCCCTGCTGGCAGCCAGCACCCAAAATATCACAAGTTGTTACAGTCTTATCTAAGACTGTAATAAGCCCCATTGTACTCTTTGGGCTGGATTCCACAAGTTTGCTCTGCTAGTAGAAACACTTTTCTCCAGTGGAAGGAGCCTTCCCCTGATGCAAGATGTTTGGAAGAGTATCGAGAACATTCCTTTCATCGCAGGAAAGTGCCTCTGATGTTGGAATGGATCTGTAGCATCCAGCCCACTGGGACGTACTGGCCAACCCACCATTAAAGATCCTCTTCCTGAGCCCTGTTCTCTGTGCTCCTGCCTATGGAAGTGAGGTTGCTGGTGTCTAAAAAAATGGCTTTTCCATAGCGCCTCTTGCCTTTGGAATGCCATCTCCCTTTGAGGCTTGCTTGTGATTTACCTCAGTATGTTTTAGGCATCAGGTCAAAACATTTCATTTTACCCAGACTTTTAACTGAGGTTTCTATGTTTTTAGCTGTTTTTATTATTCACTTCTAGCCCAAGGACAGTTTTATGGCTATCATTTTAAACTGCTCAAAGTTGTGTTATGCCCCTGGCTTGTTTTTAATATTGATAATTTATTTTGGTTTTATAATTTTATCATTGTTTCGGCTTGTGAGCTGCCTCAGGGAAGTCTCCGGAGAGGCACAGGTTTTGCTAAATAGATAAATAATAAGTAAATATTCATTGATTCTTGGTAGCAACCGATCACACTGAATCCAGTTCCAGAAATATACTACTTTCCCCTCACAATGATAATTGTCTACTTGAATGTTTCCCAACAGCACATCATTAGATAAAGAGAATGTGAAATTAATTTCTGTTAAGACAACTTCTCCAGAGTCTGGTAAGTTCGTTTCCTTCATGCTTGATCATGCTGGGACCTGGCAAGAAATGAAGAGAAGGCTTTTAACAATAGGATGTTAATTGTAATTTAAACTTCAGGTTTTGCCTGTGTGAAATCAAAACCCACAGATTATCTGTGTAAGGTGATGTCAAGTCACAGCTGACCCCGTGGGGTTTTCAAGGCAAAAGACTTCAGAGATGGTTAGCCGTTGCCTGCCTCCATGTCACCACCCAGGGCTTCCTTGGTGGTCTCCCACCCAAATACTAGTCAGGGCTGACCCTGCTTTGCTTTCAAGATCTGACACAATTGGGCTAGCCTGGGCTATCCAGGTCAGGCAACAGATTCTCTAGAGATTATGAAATGATAATTCACCACAAATACAAGCATTGGCCCCAAGCTAAGCCCTTGTTTGATTTCAGTGGAAGAAGTAAGCCCTTGCTAAAAAATCTTTCCTACTCAGTGGGACTTGAATGTACTGGATTGTGCCTTTGGCCTTTAAGCAAAGTAGGGATGTAAAAAATACATCTGTCAGAAGAGGTTAAAGCTGCCATAATAAACAAGTATTATGCACAGTTCTAAACAATCTCATAAAGATAGAATTGATAAACATGCTTTAAGCAGAGATTATAATAATAATAATAATTATTATTATTATTATTATAATCTCTGCTTAAAGCATGTTTATCAATTCTATCTTTATGAGATTGTTTAGAACTGTGCATAATACCCTGCTGAGCTTCCAAGATCAAACTAGTCTGGGCTATTCAACCAGAGTTGAACATGGAGAACTAGGGTGCTTTCACACATAATAAATAATGCAGTTTCAATCCACTTCAGCAACTGTTTGCCAGTGGTTTTTGCCAGTCCACACAGTAAAATCCAGTCGCAAAGTGCATTGAAAGTGGATTGAAAGTGCATTATTACTGTGTGTGTGAAAGTGCCCATAGTCTTCCTTTTCTGTTGAAGTCAATGTGCTTAGAAGGGTATGACTCTGCTTAGGATCACACTGAACTGCAGCATTGCTCAAGGAAAGGTTCCTGATTGCAGCCGGGAAGAATGGGTTAAGGGCAAGAAACTCCGTTCACAGCCGTGTGTCCCTGCAGGGTGAGAAATAGGACTGCCACAACTTTTCATTTGTTCTTTCCATTTCATTTTGGCCCAAGAACACTTTACAAATTTTCTTAATTTTTGTTGTTACACATATTCCTTTTCTTTTATTATTCCTTTTGGTTGCTTTCAGTAGAAAATTGCATTTTTAGTTGTAACCTTTAGTTGTTTTCTGCCCACTTGGGATGACACGTTCAGGTATTGTGTCCTTCATGCAGGGAATTCCACCTGCCAGACTGCAGGCAGATGGGTGAAATGGTCACCTTTCATGGGTGATTAATTATTTATTTAACCATGTATTTATATCTCACCTTCCCACAATGCCCAAGATCGCCAACAAAATATAAATTCACACAATTAAATACATAATTAAACTCATCAAGCTGCCTTTCAGGGCAACTTGTTTTCCATTACTGATTTTCTTGCTGAAGACTCCTGCTAAGCTTTCTCCAGACCACAAGATTCCATGGAACACAGTTTGGAAGCCACTGATGTAGAGTTATTAAAGCATGCCTGTTAGCCTGTGGTGATTTCTAACTTGCAGCAATAGGATGATCACATTCTCGGGGCGAGGGGGTGAGAAAACAGGGAAAACACTGCCTCTGGGTGCTTTTAAATCTCCAGCACCGGCTACGAGCCCTCCTTTTGCCAGGCAAATGCTTGATAATCTCTCGACTGAACAATGTTGTACGTGTACTATATTTGGAAGCTGTCTGAGTCATAACCACTTGAGGAACATTATTTTTCTCTTCCCTCTCACACTCCAGTTAATTCGATTCATATTTAATATAGTTTTGTGGTGGAATTCCAAAAGTTTAATACATTTTCAGCTCGCACATATTTCCATAAGTATAAAATCCAGTTTTACCTTTCAAGTTTTGTAAAATATTCCATTCTTCACTGGAAAACCCCAAAAGTGCAGGGTTTTCTGCTGCCAGTTTTTGCTGCGATATTTCTTTTTCATGAAACTGGCTTACCAAGGTTGGGGGTGGGGGGGGGGAGGCAGGGTGGGGGTGGTGGGAGACAGAAGCCAGGGCAAGTGAATCCTGATGGGAAGAATTCATAAAAATATGGAGAACAACATACTATATGACAGCAGTTCCATGGTCCACTATGGATAGCTGAGACTAGCCTGAGCTTGTCATAATTCAAAAGCTAAACAAGATTGGCCATCCATACTTGGATGGGAGACATAATTAAAGCCTACCTCTTCACTGGCCCATTGAGCTGCTGATTTCTAAAATAGAGCATACAATCGGGTTTTGTATGGATGCCGCCAATTTTGCCACATGCATGAAAACCCAATTGCACTCTACTGCATGCCTAGGGAGAAACAGAGTGAAGCAACCTACTGAACAGCCATGAACAGGTTAACGAACAGTAAAACTAATCACTGAAAAATCAGTTCCCGATTTGCAACTGGCGAACAGGATGTGAGCCAAACTGGCAGGTTTTCAAGCATCCCTAGTTTTGTGTCCGAGTATCTTCATGGAGGCATAACTAGTGTCCTTGGGCCAGGAGACTTATGATGTTAAGCAAACATGGGATGGTTCTAATTCAGTAAACTTGTACTTCAATAAAGTCTTACATATCCATCTCCTATGGTCAATTCTGTTTCCTGGTCAACTAAAAAAGGTTTTAACCACTGCATTTGCTAAGTCTTGCTATCTCCTATTCATCTTGTCTCACTAACCTGTTATTCATCTTGTCTCACTAACCTGTTAGTGTTCTTTGAGGGGGTGAACGAACATGTGGACAAGGGGGATCCAATAGATATTGTTTACCTTGACTTCCAAAAAGCTTTTGATAAAGTTCCTCATCAAAGGCTCCTAAGTAAGCTCAAAAATCATGGGATAAAAGGACAAGTCCTTTTATGGATCAAAAACTGGCTAATTAATAGAAAACAGAGAGCGAGTATAAATGGGCAATTTTCTCAGTGGAGGGTGGTAAGCAGTGGGGTACCACAGGGATCAGTACTTGGTCCACTGCTTTTTAACTTGTTCATTAATGATTTGGAGTTGGGAGTAAGCAGTGAAGTGGCTAAATTTGCAGATGATACAAAGTTGTTCAGGGTGGTGAAAACCAGTGAGGATTGTGAGGCACTCCAAAGGGATCTGTCAAGGATGGGCAAGTGGGTGTCAACATTGTAAATGGGGTTCAGCGTGGCCAAGTGCAAGGTGATGCACATTGGAGCCAAAAATCCTAAATAGAAATACACAATGAGAGAGATCTTGGAATTGTAGTAGATAACTCACTGAAAATGTCGAGACAGTGTGTGACTGCAATAAAGAAGGGAAATGCTATGCTGGGGATTATTAGGAAGGGTATTGAAAACAGATCAGCCAATATCATAATGCCCCTATATAAATCAATGGTGAGACCTCATTTGGAATACTGTGTGCAGTTCTGGGCACCACACCTTAAAAAGGATATTATAGCTTTGGAAAAAGTGCAGAAAAGGGCAACTCGAATGATAAAAGGGTTGGAACACTTTCCCTATGAGGAAAGGTTAAAGCGCTTAGGGCTCTTTAGCTTGGAGAAAAGACGACTAAGGGGTGACATGATCGAGGTTTATAAGATTATGCATGGGAAAGAGCAGGTAAAGAAAGAGGTACTTTTCTCCCTTTCTCACAATACAAGAACCCGTGGGCACTCCATGAAATTGCTGAGCGGTCTTTTCTCCCTTTATCACTATACAAGAACTCGTGGGCACTCCATGAAATTGCTGAGCGGTTGGGTTAGAACGTTAGAAGGAAGTACTTTTTCACCCAAAGAGTGATTAACACATGGAATTCACTGCCACAGGAAGTGGTGGCGGCTACAAGCATGGACGGCTTCAAAAGGGAATTAGATAAGCATATGGAGCAGAGGTCCATCAGTGGCTATTAGCCACAAGGTATAGATAGGGGCTCTGGGGCAAGTTATACTCTGTCTTCTTGCTGCTTGGGGGGGGGGTCAACAGTGGGATGGCTTCTAATGTCCTGGCCCCACTGGTGGACCTCCTGATGGCACCTGGTATTTCTGGCCACTGTGTGACACAGAGTGTTGGACTGGATGGGCCTTTGGCCTGATCCAACATTGGTGTCTCTATGTTCTTATGTTCTTATCTTTATTTTCCTTCTGAGTTAGGCCAGTTCCTTTGACCCTTGTTTCATGGAACTTGCTTTTACAATGTAATCCTTGGCAGAATTATACCCTATTGAGGTCAATGGTCTTAGAAGGACATAAAGCTGCTTAGGCTGGCACTGCTAGGTATTCCAATACCCTTGGAGTCCTCCAAGCCCACTGGACGTACAATGTTGCCACCTCAGTGCAGGTATTTAACCTTTTAGAAGTTCAATTGGTATTTATGCTTTTAAGAATGAGTTTAACTGTGAGTCCTAAATAGAGGTACACTTTTCTAATGTCATTTGCTTCCATGGACTTAGAAGGGTGTACCCTGCTTAGAACTACACTGTAAGTTTCTTCCAAGAGAGAAGTCATCACAACAATGGGATATTTCCCAGCATGCTGTTATGTAGATTTATGTGGAATTTTCCTGGACCATGAGTGTTGGTTGTGTTTGTTTGTTTGAAGTATTGTACTTGATTTTATTTTGTGACTGTGTGCCATACCTATCATCTTTGGGTTATGACCACTAGCCCATCTTTGTACTTTAGTTTGGATCATATATAGCTGTGAATTGTTGATGGTCTTCCCTTGGTGGGTTTTAATTGTGGCTATACTCATACACTAAGGGTTCCCTATTGTCCTTGGTATCATCATTGAGAGACATGTGTCTGGATGTATATTTATGTTATAACTGTCCTCCCAATGCAATGGGCAATGGCTAATACAATAACCATTGGTTTTATTATGTTTCCAGATGAGATTAATTTACTCATATCTTCCTTTTCTTAGGAGAACACTCCTCTCAGGGGAAGAATAAAACTCGGCAGCATGATGACTCTTCACATTTGGGCAACAAATGTGTATGTTCAGTGTTTTCCTTCAGTTTACTAAAAGCTGAATTACAGTCCCTTTCTAAGCAGTTATAACTTTCTACGCCCATTAACATCAGTGGACCTAGAGGGGAGTAACTTGATTTAGGAATGATTCAGGTGGGTAGCTGCATTGGTCTGAAATACCAAAACAAAGTCTGAGTCCAGTGGCATCTTTAAGACCAACAAAGTTTTATTCTGAGTGTAACCTTTCATGTGCACGAACACTTCTTCAGATACAATGAAATGGAAATGACCAGTCCATACATATAGGTAGCATACAGCATAATGAAGATGTTTAACAGATTCAACGATCAAACAGGAATAACAAGCTTAGTTTATATGGTCACCATTTGTTTGGGTTTAATTCCAGGGCGGGGCATAGTGAAGGAAACAAATATGTCAAAATTGGTGACTGATGGGCAGATGTATGCTTAAATCATTCAGTACTTTTTACAGCTACAACTCAACCAACATCCATAACAGAGCTATACATTTCTGCCCACTTGTCCCTTAAAACAACTGTTACTAGTATAGAACTAAATGGTGCCTAGTTGCAATGCTGTTGTTATCTCCTGGCTAGGTGGTCAGCTTATTTCTTTATTTAGCTTATTTCTAGTTCACCTTTCTCACTGAGACTCAAGGTGGATTATAGAATACAGCTAGAGAAAAGAATTATACAGTGTACAACATCCAGTGGAACATTGTGTGAAAGGATTTTAAGCACTACGATTCAGCAACTACTCTGTCCCCCAGAGTTAGAAGGCACACTGGTATGGTTGGAAGGTACCAGTGTATAATTGTTAGTGTAGGCCTGGGAGACACAGATTCAGACTTCCACTGTGTCATGAAATTCCCACTCTGTCAGCCTAACCTACATTATAGTGTGGTGTTGTGACAGTAAGATGGTGGTAAACTATATGTGCCCTCCTAAGCTCCTTAGAGAAAGGACCAAATACAAATGCAATAAAAATGAATATTATAGAGCAGCCTTGGAGGCCTGGGTGTGTTTAAGGCCTGGTTCTTTTGTCTACCAGCATGATGTTTCAATTGAACGAAAGAAAGGCCAAGGAGATTTTGAAGCAGAATTTGCCACTTACAAGCCCTCCTGATTATTCCTGCTACTGCTGCTCAATAATGAGGCACCTTTTATTTTGCCAGCCTAAAATCAACTAAGGTAACCTTCATATAACCGACTCAGAATGATCCTGTGAGGAGAAATAACTGTCAAACCTTGGTGCATTTCAGGTGTGAAGAATTCTTATTTCATGGTTTCTTGCCGGATTCACTCACCAAAGCAGAAATTCCCCCTGGAACAGTGTGGATCAACAGACAAATAGAATATGCACATTTAACTGCTGTATAACGTGTTACTCTGAAACTGCCTCCTTCTCTCGTCTATGCCTGCTGTTTTCCACTGGAAATCCTCTTTTCTTTTTTTGTCTGTGGTGTAACTGGTGTATAGTATATATTTATTGCTTTCCACCTATGTAAAAACAGTGACATTTTCACCTTACTAATGCAAAAAGCATTTAATATTTGACTAATGGTTTTGTACATAAAAAAATTCTTCCTGTAAAGGGAGTAAAAGATTAACACATTTTCTTGGACTTCCAATAAAGAGTTTTGTACCACAGACTACAGCTGCTCAACTGCACACAGGGCCCGTTAATCAGGATTCCCTGATCACTTGGCCCAAGGGCAAAACTTGATGGTGACCGTGGTGTTTATTTCTTTTTAAATGTATATACCACTTCTCCAATTAAGCAAACTCCAGAGGACAGTGGAAGACAGGAGGGCCTGGTGTGATGTGGACCATGGGGTCGCAAAGAGTCGGACTCGACTGTGCAACTGAACGACAACACCACTTGTCCAGCAGTTTAATGTCATATGGTCAACATGCATCAGATCACAACGGATACAGTTAAAACATCACCACAAAATCTTTTTTACAAAAACCAGACAAATAGACTAATGTGCCAAAAGTACAGCTCATTTTTTAAAAGTCTTGTAGCCTTTCCAGAAAAGTAAAAGAAAGTTTCCCAGTCCTTCAGAAAGGTATATATCTAAAGCAGGAACTGCCAGAGAATATCATTGCCCCCATCATTCTCATTCAAGGGGTTGATGGGACCCCTAATGAGCTCTGCTCTTCCAGCCTGAAATGGAGAGCGGTCATATATGGAGAAAGTGTGGGCTGGATCCTAACATTTTTTTCCCACCACTGCCTGTACATTCCCTCCACTGCGAAGTGCCTTCCATGAGTGCATCCAGATAGGCTCCAATGGAGCAAAATGCTAGGATCCAGCCCACAGTCCTTCAAATAGTTGAGTCTTGGGCTGAAAGGGAATTTTAAAATTGAAGACAACATCTTGAATTGAACCTGAAAGCAAATGCATAATGAAGCAGACATTAAGGAACCTCATCTAATGAATCTCATTTCTATTTACAGAGTCATCAAGTACCATCAAGGGCTCCCAGTCAAAGATGCACTCCAAGGCCCCCCTCATGCTTCTGGAATGCATGTCAAATATCCTATAAAAATCAGATTACTTAACCAGCTTTAGGGGTACCACCAGTGACCAGGGGATGTAGATTTTTGTCCCCTTTGTTTCTGCAATTAACTTTAACTCACGGAACAATGCCTGGTGAAGTGTCACTAACAAATGAAAACTCGGCAGGTATTCCAAAGGTCTGCGGATGGGTCCTTGCTCCTCACTGCTCCTTCTGACAGTCAATAGAAGCAGTGTTAAATATGCCAGAAACAGTTACTGAAAGCATAATTTGCAGCCCAATCGTACGTATGTTTGCCTAGGTGAAATTGTATTCAACAGTGCTTGCTTCTCAGTAAATGTCTGTAGAAGTGACACCTTATTAGTTACAGAATTTGGGTTACCTTGGCATCAAAATGTATTTGTTGTTTTGAGTTCAACCCTAATCTTTCAACTAATACCATAAAAGTTTCCACGGTTGCAAGCAACAATCCCTTCAATAGATTTATGGAAGCTAATCCTTCCTTTGATGGCACGGGTTTGGCGTTCTGTAAAAATACAGGGATGAGAAGAAGGACGCCGGGGATTTGTTTCCTCAAAAGAATATTTTTAATACAGATAGCTGGGCTCAATGACATGATATATGACGTGATTCCTAGGAAGGAATAGCGATATATGCAGGTTTGACCATGAACTTCACATGCCCATGATTTAAAGGATCTGTTTCAGTAGATTCACACATTTGTGTCTGAAGTTAAGAAATCCTGAAGAGGTTCCCATTGGATATGATGGTCTTGTCACTGAATACTTGAAAGGCAGAGTAACCTGACAGTGACTTTTCCACCTAAAAAGTAAACCTGTCCTTGGTTCTCTTCTGGGGAAAATAGGAGGGATGTGGTACAATTTTGACTGGGAAAATGGCACAGGGGAAAGGATATTCCTCCACCATTGCACCATGACCCTGATCCAACCCCCCCCCCCACCATGACTGCTTTTAAAGAAAATTAAAATTAGCTGGATATCAGTGATGAATTTTGCTTTCTCCGTCCTTACAAGATGGCTACTGGGGGTCATTGATTCCAGTGAAACTGTTGGCCAACTCTGGAATTTAATTCAAGAAATGCAAAGAAAAACTCTCCCTCCTGTTTTGCTACGAATAAATATATAATGACTTATCAATACCAAAAGTTCAAATGTGGAAGAGAAAATTTTTATGAACCTTCTCTCTACCAGATCTGAGCTTTGGGTATTGCTATAAGCCATTGTATATTTATTTCATTGCAACAGGGTTGTTATCCAATGCATGAAGAAAGGCAGAAAGAAAACCCCGAATGATTAAATGGCAACATTAAATTTAGGAGGCAAATAGTCAACAGGGCATGTTAAACAAATAGATGTTCAATTGTAGGTAAAAACACAGCATGTAAAGCTCAGTGACTCGATTTTTCATGTATTCTACATTAAGAACAGATAGTAAGGAATGCTATTCATCTGAATCCACAGAACACCTATCTTTTGCCTCACCCTCTCCGTCTCCCTCTGATACATCTGATGAAGCGAGTTTTGAACTCACAAAAGCTCACAGTGAAATAATTCTTGCTAGTGTTCAAGGTGCCACCTGATCTCTTTTTAATTCTCCACCACCACCACCTTTAACTACCTATTTATGTATTCTTCTCCTATATATTCAGGTCTTTGGCTTTCAGACAGATAACACACAATAGGGTTTTGTTTCTTAATAAGTCGAAGGTGCTTTGGAAGAGATTTCTCTGATCATCGCCTTTTTTTGTTTCAAGAGTCTCTGCTTGACCAAGGTGACAGCATGGAGCCAAAATCTGTGTATGTTGTGCGTGAAGCAAACACTGTCTTAAAAACAATGGTCTCTCTCTCAGAACAGCTCTCTTCTCTTGTTAGTAATGGTGTCACATACACTGGTTTCTAATCACTACGGTACTCCTTGGGGTACTTGCCTGAGAATTAATAACTGGATATTGTGCCCTCTTTGCCAATATTATGACAGCAATGCAATATATTATTGCTCTGCATTCAAGCCACCTGAAAAACCCATTGTCATAAAACCATCTTCAACTAATTTCTGAGGAATTTCCAAGATGCTCTTGGAACATCTGTAATCACATTTTTATCATCCAAGTAGTTCAGACTGCCAGAGATGTTTCTATTCTCTTTCATGTTATTCTCACAGCAACCTGGTGATGTCAGACAGCCTGAGAGTATGACTCCGCCATCCTAAGACCTGTCTCTGGACAGTTTAGGAAGTGGCCTAAGCACTACACAGAGATATTCTGAAATTAGGCTGGCATATCTGGAGCTACGCAAGAGCAAAGCTGCACTAACAGCTGCAACGTACTGGCATTAGAATATTAGAACCTGGGCTGCTGGTGACTGGACCAGGTGTCTTGCCCAAATGTGAAACACGTTTGGTCTTTTGTCTCATCGTTGTTAATAGGAGTGTTGTATATGCCATGATGGCATAACTTTTAGTGAAACCCTGAAATGGAATACTCAATTAAATCTTATAAAAGCTTTGGCCTTTAAAATAATCAGAGCAATAATGAGATTCCATTATACTAGAGGTAGTTTTCTTACTCAGCCGGCATTAAAGCTCTTTGTCAGCAAAGTTATTGCCCACTTATTGTACAGAATTGAGATACGGGGATGGAAAGAGTCAATTGTCAGTAACTTGGACATAATCCAAAATCTTTTTATGAGATGCATTTTAGCCCTACCAAAAGGGACACCAGTGGCCTTCTTACGGGCAGAACTCAGCCTTCCTTTGATTAGGGCACATGCCCACCTGGCAATTCTCAAATCATGGGGGGAAAAACCAATGGGTAAGTCCTGGCTCCCTTAGCAAACTTAGTTTTGAGTTGTTGTATAGCAAGGATAAGATCTGTCTAGTTTTCTTTAATGATATTACACCTAGATACACCATTCCAAATGATCTGATTCAGCCTTCAGGAAACACTGTTGATTAACAGGAACGGATATAGAGAGAGGATGCCCAAATTGACAATTTTTCAATCAGTCATTTAAAGCTTGCCCCATGATACAAAGTCATTAAAAGATCACTTTAAAGCATCTTATCTAACTGAAATTGCAGCCTACAATCTCAGAGTGGCATTCTCATCATTATGTTTTCAGACTATGCCTACTGAGATTCTTGCTGGATGCTACAAGCATCCCTCTGGATCAAAGTATATGTATCTGCAGAAGTTTTTTATCTAGTGTTTATTCCTTGCCTGACTCCGATAAATTAGCTTATATGCTATCAAGACACCAACCCTTTTATATCTAATAAGATGGCAGTTTTTGCTCTGGCAGCAAAGATCAGAGAAAACCTAAGAAGAAAGAAAGATCAGAGCAAACTTAAGAAAACACATAAATAACTGACCAATTGAAACTGTTAGATTTTAGAGACATATACATTTTAAGTCTGTATGTTTTACATTGTACATTTCTGATTTTATCACAAATGGATTGTAAAGGCCTGTGGCCATATACAGTAAACTTACTCTACTACCAGGGCTATTTTTGGGCAGGAACGCACAGGAACGGAGTTCCAGCTGGCTCCCAAGTTTGCCACACCCAGCAGGAACTCATTAGCATAATAGGCAACACCCAACAGCAGAAACTCATTAGGATTGGCTACATTAGGGGTGTGTGGCCTAACATGCAAAGGAGTTCCTGCTACAAAAAAAGGCCCTGGGTTTTGACAACAAACAAGGTAAACAGAATAACAAGCAAAAGGTGGGTGTGGCTGGATAACCACACTGCTGGTAACATGGGGGTGCGGCCTAATGTGCTAATGAGCTATGCTGTCAGGGGTGTGGCCTAATATGCTAATGAGTTTCTGCTGTTGGGTGTGGCCTATTATGCTAATGAGTTCCTGCTGGGCTTTTTCTACAAAAAGAGCCCTGTCTACTACTATATGCCATGATGGGAGAGAAGATGGCATAGTATTGCCTGATCT